GTGTGCTACCACTATTGCTTATGTGATTGACTTGATCTAGTGGTAGCATATGACATGTTTGTGGGCTTGTGAACCTAGTGTTTGACCTAGCTAATGAGCTAAAAGGGGTTTGACTCAACATGGGCAAGATAACCAATGAAAGTTGTTTGAAGAAGATTGTCCTTGGATCAAACCGAGTTAAATTTCTTTGGTAAAATGATCTAGATTGAACCAAATTTGGGAAAATGATCCTCACTTTCACCCTAACCTATCTAAAATTAGAGCTCACCTTTTGTGGTATTTGATGCCAAAGGGGGAGAAATAGTTCACAAAGATAAGATAGGATTGACAAAGGGGGCAAAGGGGAGAGAAGTGACAAAGGAAAGGGGTCAATTAAAATTTAAGTACACAAGTAGAGGGAGCAAGCTCATAAACTTGAATGGTGCATTTGAATGTGCATTTCATATGTATGCTTGCATAATAGTTGTAGGTTTGATTGATGAAATGAAAAACTAGCATGCATAGGATGGTAGTTAGACACTTGAAATGTTTTATAAGTGGTATTAGAGCCTTGCTCCTAATGTTGATCTCACGAGGTATCTAGTTCTTTGTCTTTTCAAGTGGTATCTAGCAAACCATGGTGCTAAGGATGGTGTTATTGGTGCACTCCGATTGGTATCACGATTCAAAGATCCATCTCTTACACCTTAGCATTATTTGATAGACATTACTCTCCCACATTTCCTATCTATGCATATGTGCAAGCTTTAAATCCAAACTCTTAGCACATATGTAGGGGGAGCTAATGCTACCAATTCGGGTTCATAAAACTTGTCCAAATCCTTTACACATTGTAAAAATGCTTGGGCAAGCAACATAGATTCAAAATGATTTCAATTCATATCTTTGTGAAAGAGTTGTCATCAATTACCAAAAAGGGGGATTGAAAGCTCTAGTTTGGTTTTGGTTAATTGATGAAACCCTAAGTGCTAACCTAGTTTATCAAAGTGATTATGAGATAGGTAGCACTACTCCAAGTGATGAAGCAATGGCGAAGATGATGACGATGTTGATGGCATGGTGATAAGCTAGTACATGCCAAGCAATGGAGCAAATGGATGATGATCATGATGATGGTGATGGCCATGGTGATGATCAAGTGCTCAAGCTTGGAGAAAAGAAGAAACAGAAAAACAAAATGGCACAAGGCAAAGGTATATTTGATAGAAGTGTTTTATTTTACCACTCAAGACACCAAGTGGGTGTGAGTGGACTTAGGATAGATAGTTGTACTATTAAGAGGGGTGAAATTCATTGAAATATGGTTATCAAAGTGCCACTAGATGTTCTAACTCATTGCATATGAATTTAGATTCTAGTGAGTGCTAACACCCTTGAAAATACTTTGTGAAAATGCTAACACACATGCACTATGGTGAGACACTTTGTGGTTGGCAATATAGAAGCAAGGAAAAAATGGTCACTGGAGTGACTGGACGTGTCCACGGGAGGACCGGACGCGTCCGTTATGCGGTCCCAAGCTCGGCTACGTTGGCCGAGATGATCGGACCCGGCTGAAGGAGAGGACCGGACCCTGGCAGAACATTGTTCCTGAGTCTGGTCAGCATGCTTGACACACTAGAGCGAGGATAGAGAGGACCCGACGCAGGGCGAGTCCGGTCAGCCTAGACCATACGCGTCCGATCTGCAAAATGCATCTCTGGACCCTTACTAGAATCGATCGGACTCTAGCCAGTTGGGCGTCCGGTCAGGTAGAGGCGTGTCCGGTCTCGGTACTGAGGGAGCTGACGCACGGGTGATCGGACTCCGCGTAGGAGCGTCCGGTCGTGGACCTGTGCGTCCGATCAGGTGCTGATTGCGCATGGCAGTGCTAGCCATTGAGCGCTAACGGCTCTATTCGTTTGAACATTACACGTGGCGTGCACGTAGCGACCGGACGCTGTGACCGGACGTGTCCGATCAGTGCGCAGAAAAGGGATTTTGAGCCCAACGGGTATGTTGACTCTTGAGGCTCTATAAATAGATGTTGGCTGGCTTGGGCTCATTCTCTTGGCCATTTCTTTTGAGAATACACCCTAGTGAGCCTAGCCATTCCTCTCTAACTCATCTTGCTTGATTGATTCATCATTTGGTGAGATTGGAGAGCATCCAAGTGCATTGCTTGAGTGATTGCATCTAGAGGCACTTGGTGATTGTGTTTCGTTGTGGATTTCTCTTATTACTCTTGGTGTTTGCTGACACCTAGATAGCTTGGTGCAGCGAGGATCGTTGAGCGGAGGATGGTGCTTGTCTTCGGCTCCAATCGGTGGATTGTGAGGGGTTCTTGTGCCTTCCCCGTGGGAGATCATGAAAGGCAACTCTAGTGGATTGCCCGTGGCTTGTGGATCCCTATCTTGTGTTGGTTGTGCGGCACCCAGTTGCGGATTAGACGTGTGATGCCTATTAGCGCGTGAACCTTCAAGTGGGTGAATCGTCACAATGGGGACCAGCTTGCCGGCAAGCAAGTAAACCTTGGTGAAAAATCATTGTGTCTATTGGTATTCATTGTGATTGATTTTTCGCTTGCCGGGCTCGGTATAACATCTCTATCACTATCTTGTATATTTACATTCTTACTTACTTGTGTAGTGGTAGTAGTAGTTGTTAAAGTAGCTCTCTTGGTTAGCTAGTTGCCTAGCTTGTTAGTTAGTTGTTTAGTTTCTAGCTAGCTCAACTAGTGTAGCGAGTAGATACTTAGCCCTTGATTACTTAGTGATCATAGATAACTAGAATTGTTGGTAGCTGGCTTTCCTTTTGATTAGAGCTAGAGCAAAACGTTATTTCACCATTTAGTGTACTAACCACTTGCTCTAGTGTATTTGTAGAATTGTTTTAGGCTATTCACCCCCTCTAGCCATTTAGGACCTTTCACCGGGCAGGGATCCTATGCCCTGAGCGTCGACCAGCCCACCGAGCGTCCAAGGCTCGGGGGCTCCCCAGCATCGCCCCGACCAACGAGCGCACGGCCCTATCGCCCACTCCTCCGATAGAGACATGCAGGCGGCGTGACGCAAGAGGACAAATCCCTCCATCGACTCCAGGGGCGTGGGGGCTCCTAGGCCCGCTTATCAGCCTCCCGAGCCAGGCACCTTCACCGCCAAGGAAGCCTTGAGAAGGCTCACCCGATGGATGCCTGTCCAAGCAGACAGCCCCTAACGGTCAGAACGTTAGGGCCAAAAGAGCCAGGCGGCGCTCGAGGCTGCCCCAGCTCCACGACAACGCCAGGGTTCATCCATGCCGCGACAGCGCCCCCTTGGACTCCGACGCACGTATATCATAGACTAAAACCCTAAACCACCTTGTACCCGACCTTCCTCGGAATATAAGGGGGTGGTCGGCTCCTAGAGAGAGAAGAGGTCGAACTCACCAAATAGACCAGAGCATTCCAAGCTCCGCTCAGAGCAAAGCAAGCCAAGAGGAACGGCCGAGCGTTCTTTTTTCTGATCGGGGAAGAAACCTCGCCGCCAATGAGCCTTAGGATAGCATCGAGAGATCCCTTGCCAAATCTCTTTCTCTTTCGTTGTAACCCCCCAATTTAGGTGTTCTCGAATACAAAGAACAACCACTGCTGGACATAGGGCTCCGACAGCTTGAACCAGGATACGTCGCCATGTCTTCTCTTGTGTTCTTGAGTCCACCGAGCCACTGGAGACCCACACTCAGTGACACCCGATGAACAACGATGCTTGTCGCGGCAACTACCCCACGACAGTAGTCGTCTGGTACTCACTACACTCATTTTCATTATCTTCACTTATGTTGTACAATCAAATTTTTAAATCAACAAGACTTGTATATGTTTTTCGCTGATTTATGTACTCTGTTGTTGAGATATAATCTTGATATGTGGCGGCTATTGTGGTATGATACTCAACCGTGATCCTGATGTAGTGGAGATGTGGATGGCATCTCTCGAGGATTACCAAGTTAGTTTGCTTAAATTGAGTTGGTTAAGTTGATGACACTCGATTTAGGTAAATTAACGTGATGGATCCCTACACCTTCCATCCTAAAAACAATATAAATCTCACTCTCCGAAAAATCAATCAATCCTAAGTTTGACTAATTATTTATAAAAAAATACTAATATAATAAGTATCACTGAATTAATTATGAAACATATTTTCATAGTAAGCCTATTTAAAAATACAAATGTGATATTAACTTGTCAAACTTGGAATCGTTCGACTTCCATTCTTTTTAACACAAAAGTAGTACTCCATCCGTTTCAAATTATAAGTCGGTTTAACTTTTTTGATACATCTATTTTGCTATGTAACTTATAATTTGGAACAGATGAAGTAATTGACAACAATCAAGTCCTATAACTGTTTGTCATGTAATGTCAGACTTCTTATATTGGATCCGCTGAGGCGGTTAAGCTCTTCACCTCTCCTCGCTGATTTGCATCGCAAAAGAATTTTAAAAATGAAACTCATTGGCATGAAAAATATTTTTGACACCGGATGATCTTCAAAGTTCAACTAAACAAGAATTAGATGACGAGCAGTCAAGAGAGACGTTCTATTCAAATCCATTGGGATTTTTTCGGCTAAATCTTTCTGTCTCATTGTTCACCTTTTTTTTCTTAAGAAAAAAGATGCCTGTTTAATTCTTTACAAAATTCTTCGAGGACACATGATGAGTAGACTTTCTGAAGAAAGAGCAAAGCATGTACTGAAGTACGCAAGACTATTTTTCATGCAAATCCGTTATCCTAACTGGGGCAGCAAGGAAAGTAACATTTGGCACCGACACAGCAGTATAGTACTGAAGAGGCCAAACAGTAACAGTAACTCGTACAAGTTACACAGAAAGTGCAAGCATCCGAAGCATGAACACATTCCTTGGCATTTGGCCACAGCTCAGTCGCGACAACACAGGCATGGCAACCGATCCTTGGTTACATTGAACAGTGGCAGTATACAAATATGTGTTCCCGTCACAACCAGGCAACCACCTTACTCTTCTGTGAAGGTTGGAGGCGGGGGCTTTGCTCTATTGCTCAGAGATGACCGCGAAAGCATATTTGGAGAAGCTTGTACGACAGGGCAAGATTCTGGTACAACGACGGATGTTGACGTCGTCGGAGCAGATTTTGGTGTAGCTGGAGTGGCTGCGAGACTCACAGTGCGAGGTAGTACTTGTGTAGGGTACACCTCGGTGACCTCTTCGATGCCTTCGTCTACGTATATGACATCCTGCATAGTGAGCTGGTGATACTCAACAATTTCTTGCAGGAATCTGTTTTCTCGTGCATATACTGAGTTCTCATGCGCAAACCGTGCCATCTCAGCTAGTAGTGTTTCCAACTGGAGGCGAATGATAAGTGGCCAAACCAGTAGCAAGTACACCCAGCACTTGTTAATTCAGCTAGACATAATATGAAGTAAACTTCACAAAAGAACTACTCTTAAAATTATCACATTCAAAAAACAATTTCGGAGAACCTCACTATCATGTGCAATAATGCTTCACAAAACCAATGCTATGCACCACCATAATTTCCAGTGAGCTTAACAAGCCAGGTCTACTTGTTAACCTAACAAACTAGTATTAGATGTATATCCATCAGCTGACCATTTCCAGGTGATTTTATCCTCGACCGCTGGTTGTAGAAGAATGTTCTGTAAGCGAATCAATAGGGAGATGAACTCTTCAACTTGCGTTGCTGTAGTGATCTTTCCCCTCAATGCTCTGATCCAGGTGTCGTTCGTAATTTCCTGATGTATCATTCAGTTTTCCTTCTAACAAGTTGGAAGAGATGGGGAGCAAGGTTCCTTGGGGCCTCTCCATCGAGCCAGCTATGGTGCCAAATTTTTTTGCCTTGCTCCCATTTCCGAGGAGTATAGTGGTGGAGGGGTTGAAAAAGAGGCGATCCACATTATTACAGGGGACCTCAGTGCCGACCCAAGGTTTATCATCCACCATCCACTCTTCCCAAATCTAGCGTAGCCGCAGGGCTCTGCTAAATTTGTCAAGATCTATCACCCCAAGAACTCCCATGTCCTTCAGCATGCAGACCGTTGGCCAATTTACTAGATAGTGGCCTCCATTGGCCTTGTCGTCAACGGTCCAAAGGAAGGAGCAATGAATCTTATCGATCTTTTTTCTAGCCCAGACGGCCAATGACAAGATGGTCAAATGGAAAGTTGGAATGAAAGACAGGACCAAAGTAGACAAGAGTGTGTCGCCCTGCTCGGTTTAGGAGCCTCCCTTTCCACCAGGGCATACGTTGGCTAACTTTTTGAAGAGCACGGATGTGCAACTATAGCGACATGGGAAATCCATTTGAGCTCCCTGGAACGGTTCTAGAATGTGTTAGTCGAAGGCCCTCGCATCGAATCGGATGTACCGAGCTCTTGTCAAAATTGGCAACGTCATCGGCGTAGAGGGTCGTTGAGTCTCATTGAGACCAAGGGGAGCGGTGTTAGAAAGCCTTGTTGTGTTCCTGCATCTAGGATTCTTTGGAGCGGATCTATGGCAAGTATGAAGAGCATTGGTGAGATTGGGTCTCCCTGTCACACCCCCACCCTTTGGTTGAAAGTCTCACCCTGATGGCCATTTACTGTAACCCTCGACGATGATGTCCCGAAGAGGCCCTCCACCATTGGCCGAAGCCAAGGGCCTGCAGGGCCTCAAGCAGGTAACTCCAATTTCAAGTGTCAAGACTTTTGGATGTCGAGTTTGAGGAAAAGGGCCGGTATCTTCCTCTTTTGGAGATTTTTTACCGTATTTTGCACATATAGGAAGTTATCTTGGATGCAGTGACGCTTGATGAAGGCGCTTTGACACTTGGATACTATTCCCTCGAGCAGTGAGGCCAGTTTGTTTGCTAGGAGTTTGGAGAAGATCTTGGCTATGTTGTGGATCACACTGATTGGTGTGTAGTCGCCTACCCTCACAACATACAGCTTCTTGGGATTGAGGATGATGTTGGCCGAATTCAGCAAATCAAAGTTTCGATTGTTCATGTCGTAGAGCTGGTTAAAAGCGACAATGAGGTCAAATTTGATAGTTTCCCAGCAATGTTTGAAGAAGGCACCAGTGAAACCCGTCAGGGCCAGTTGCTTCGTCTCCCGGCATTGAGTCGATTGTTTCCTTTATCTCATCTTGGGAAAAGGGGGCTTCAAGGATCGAGAGGTCTTGTTGGTATCCCAGGGATGTCCAGTTAAAGGTGGAAGATCGGGTAGTGTTGCTCCCAAGTTGTTTCTTAAAATGTTCCGAGACAATTTTCTCTTCCTGTGCAAATATCATAGCATGTTCAGATTGTACTTCCTCAATGTCGTGGTGGCCCAAAGCTAGAAAAATATGGTGTTGGTATCACCGAGTCAGATGTTGGTCGTCATCTTAATTTTTCAATGAGTGCCAGGCCTAGGGAGTGTGCTTTGAGGCACTTGAGTAAGCTTACTTCTTCCTGGGTGAGAGACCTATCCTCCTGTGCAGTCTCCACATGAAGTAATACTTCTTTTACGATTGCAAGTTTTAGTGTCGTGTCCCCAATTTTTTCTTCTTCCACCGCTTGATGGCCTTTATCATGCGAGCCAATTTAATGTGAAGGCGTTTTAGGGTTGTGTCAAAGCGATGACCGAAAGATGTTTGCTGGTTCTCTTTGCATCTCTCCTTGCAGGAATATGGGTGTGTGGTCGGACATTAGGGAAGGCACGGAGTGGAGCGGGAAATAAAAAAAAATCTCTTAATCAGGTGTGTAGATCCTTGTCATGGTTGGGCTATCTTGCCCATTTGACCATGTGAATTGTTGTCCATTCAGGCAAATTTCTTTGAGTCGTAGGTCATCTAACACCACTTTGAATGAGCCCATCAGTCTCTTGTTGAGGTTTGAATTATTTTTGCCTTTGAGCCATAGGTCATCTAACACCACTTTGAATGAGCCCATCAGTCTCTTGTTGAGCTTTGAATTATTTTTGCCCACCGCTTGATAAATTAGATTAACTCCGCCTATGGTGGGGCGCCTTTGGTGTCCTAGCATAGCAAGTCCAAAGCCCTGATAAAGGAGGGTTGTGTTAGACGCGGCGAGCTAATATAAAAACTGAGCCACTTTTATGGAGATGAAACCCAAAAGAATCCCGTTGGGGCATAACCCTCTTAGCGACGCGCCATGTCAGAACCTGGGTATGGTGTTAAATGAGCAAGGGCCGGGTCGTCACCCCCGTGACGCGTCGTGTTGCAATCTGGGCACGGTGTCAAGTGAGCAAGGATTGGGTTGTCGCATCCTTAGTGGCGCGCCACATCGGCGCCCGGGTGTGGTGCAAAATGAGCAAGGGTCTTCACACCTACCTCGGCGGGTGCGAAGAGTAAGGAAGTTAGTCGAGCCAACTAGAATCTATTTAGGTAGCTAGAATGTAGGGTCCCTTACGGGTAAGTTAATGGACACAACGGTTAGAAGGCGTGTAAACATCTTATGCGTCCAAGAGACTAAATGGAAGGGACGGAAGGCGAAGGAGGTGGACAATACCGGCTTCAAGCTCTGGTACACACAGACAACTTCAAATAAAATAGAGTAGGAGTTTTGATTGATAAGGAATGGTGTGGTGGAGGTGAGAAGGCAAGTGGATAGGATCATCTTAGTTAAACTTGTCATTAGTGATATGGTCCTAAACGTAATTAGTACGTATGCCCCCAAGTAGGCCATGATGAGAATGCTAAGCGGCTTTTCTGGGAAGATTTAGATCGCTTGGCTAGAGTTGTCCCTTGTAGCGAGAAGCTTTTTATAAGAGGTGATCTTAATGGCCATGTAGGTACATCAAGTGCAGGTTTCGAGACGGTTTATGGGGGTTTCGGATATGGTAGTAGGAACCAGGAGGGAGAGAAAGTGTTAGACTTCGCTAAGCTTTTGATCTGATGATAGCTAACACTTTCTTTCGTAAGAGACAGCCTCAATTCGTGACCTTTAGTAGCTGCCAGTACTCTAGTCAAATCGACTTTGTCCTTACAAAGACGGATAAACGAACATGCGTGGACTGTAAGGTGATACCTGGAGAATGTGTGGTCGCTCAACACAAGCTGGTGGTGGCTGACTTCCGCTTTCTAGTGAAAGCTCATGGAAACAAACAAGCTATGGTTGCTAGAACGAAGTGGTGGAAATTAGAAGGGAATGCATCAAAGGTCTTTAAGAAAAAGGTCATTGAAGAGGGCCCTTGGAAGGATAAAGGCGATGCAAACAGCATGTGAAAGAAGATGGCAACATACGTTTGGAAGGTTGCTTCAGAAGTGATTGGAGTGACCAAAGGGAGCGGATGCGACTCGAAAGACAGTTGGTGGTGGAATGAAGATGTGCAAAAGGTTATTAAGGAAAAGGAATACTATAAGCACTTGTATCATGACAGGTGTGCAGACAACATAGAGAAGTACAAGGTGGCAAAGAAAACTACAAAACGAGCGGTGAGTGAGGCAAAAGGGCGGGCCTATGAGGACCGTTACCAACGTTTGAGTACGAAGGAAGAAGAGAATGATATTTATAGGATGGCTAGGGCTCGCGATAGGAAGACAAGGAACTTCAACCAAGTCAAGTGCATAAAGGATGAGAGTGAGCGGCTCTTAGTGAAGGATGAGATCAGACATAGATGACAAGAGTATTTTGATAAATTGTTCAATGGTGAGAACGAGAACACCACCGTTCAGCTGGACGACTCGTTTGATGACACTAATAGGCACTTTGTGCGGAGAATTTAAGAATCGGAGGTCAGAGAAGCCTTAAAAATGATGAAAGGGGGCAAAGCGATGGGCCCTGATGGTATCACAATCAAGGTATGCAGATGTCTCGGGGATATAGCTATAGTATGGCTAACCAAGATGTTCAACAATATCTTTCGATCAAAAAAAAATATCCGAGGAGTGAAGAAGCAGCAGATTGATACTAATCTACAAGAACAAAGGAGATATCCAAAGTTATACTAATTATCGGGGAATTAAGCTGATGAGCCACACTATGAAGCTATGGGAGAGAATCATCGAGCAGCGTCTGTAAGGAACGACACAGATATCAACAAACCAATTTGGTTTCATATCCGGAAGGTCAACCACAGAAACAATCTTCTTAATAAGACAAGTTATGGAGCGGTTTAGAGAGCAGAAGAAGGACCTCCACATAGTTTTCATTAACTTGGAGAAGGTTTATAACAAGATACCAAGAAATGTTATGTAGTGGGCTTTGGACAAACATAAAGTTTCATCAAAGTATGTGACCCTCATCAAGGACATGTACAACAATGTTGTGAATAGTGTTCGAACAAACGATGGTAACACAGATTACTTCCCGATTAAAATTGAA